GCATCCCCCTGGCTCGTTGGCTCTCCGTCTCCGCCTCGGGCTCCTCCACCACCTGCTCCGCCGCCATTGGACGGCCCCCTGGAGTTGGCGGCCATTCCTCCTCCATGGCTCCTTCCGTCGGCTCCACCGTGGGTCGACATTTCCTGTCCTCGTTTTGTTAATTAGTGTACTTAGTCATCCCATACACCTGTGTTTCCCCAATCATCCCCTGTATTTAAGTCCTAGTCTGTGCAGTCTGTCTCTGTCGGTTCTACTTGTTATGTTCATGTGTTTCCTGCCATTCCCAGTGTTGGATGTACCCTGAGTTTCCTTTTATTAAAGACTGTTTCATTTATTCCTCGTCTCCATCATTCCTCGCCATCACAGATTGTGACAATTATATTATATTATAAAGATCTAAATGAAACTAGCCACATGCATACCATCTTCTCTCTCTGTCCCTCTCTCTCTACCACATTCCACTTGGAGGTTGTTTTTGCTTGGCTGGATCTGAGTGCCGTTCTCACCTGGTTAGCACAAGGACTCGATTGTGCTCTTTGAAGAGGAGGGAGAAAGAGATCAGCCTTCAGCTCGTTTATCTCTTTACCTCATGGTTTCTTTTTTCTTTCTCTTTGTGTTTAAGGCAGGCCACTAGATGATAAAGACCATTTCCTTTAGTCATTATGTATTTCATTGGCCATGACTCTGTCTTCCTTCATTATTTCTGTTCATTCAATTTTGCTTTATTACTTTTATGTAGGTAGTAAAGAGGCGTGCCGTCTCTGCTGTAGACACTGATGGACATTGCAGTTTTAATGTAAGAGAGAGCATGTCATGTTAGTCTAACATGAAAATTAGAAACCAAATATAAGAATACAAAAATAACATGTCATTGTTATTTGTCATAAAGGCCAACAAAAGTAGTTCTTATTTTAAGGTGATTTTTTTCTTTGTGGTGGGGAAACCGTTACTTCCCATGGTGGTGGGAATCTCAGAATTAGAAACTGAACTTGATTATAATTTAGATTATACAAATGAAATAACATATTGCAGACATTTCTTGAATATTTACCGTAGATCTTCGTCACAGTATTTGGGAATGAACCAGACAGAGAGACATACTGGGATTGGAGAGAGACCATTTCCTCCATTGAGATATCAGTGCAGTGAAGGTCTCTACCAGGGGAGGGATGCGAGTACATGGTTTTGTAATTTACCCCAGTTATCTGTCGTCTGCATGACTGGGATCCTCAGTGCTGCAGCATGTGGAGGTGAGCTGCTCTGAGGAACAGTGACTTACTTACAGTTATCATGATAATTATCTTATTCATTATTACTCACTTGGTGGTGACTGTGGTGGGGGAAGGGTTTCCATATAAGTTTTCCATATACTACTTTATTTGTTCTTATAAGGCTTTTTCTCTCAGTGGCAGAATATTTCTCATTATTCTTGAATTGCTTTGTAATTTCAGATGCTCACACCTACACATAACCATGCTGCTGGTGTGTGCTCCAGTAAATCTCCTGTTTCTTTTTTTTTTTTTTTTCTTCATTATCATGAAATCAAAATCCCTTCATTAACAAAAATTTTCATCATGACTTGA